ACAGAGAAGGACAACAGTCTTCCCAGCTATTCTGGGTAGCTAAGAATTTGGTAAATTGCATGTACAAAAGATAAAGAGAAGAAACTTGTAATACTTGGCACACAAGATGGTGAGACAGGAGAACAGATTCTCAATGGATAGGCAGGAGAGGCAGTGTTTTAAGTATAAAAGCATGTCCAAAAACGTAGTGTGCTTTGGATTTGTTGTTAGAGATCAGACTTGGAAATGTATAGATAAGTGTATCCCGTTGGGGAGACTTCAGGAAATGCAGACTTCTGCATCTCTTAAGGAACTTGCTATCTCTCCAGCAATGTCCCGTTACACAGCTTTGGAAGTGGATTTTTTTTGTGGTGTATTTTCCCCATTTCATAATGCTCATTTTCTCTCTTTTACCTTCTCTATTCTCTTGCTAGTCATCTGTATTTGTTCTGAATGATGTCACTATTTAATGACTGTATTGGCACGATATGGCAGAATTCCTTTTTTTCCCCTTAGGATTGAACTTCTCAAGCCTTCTGTGTGTCAATTATTTGCTCTACAGTTCAGAAGCAGTGAAAACATGTGTCCTCCCACTTAAAACTGAAGCAGCAGTCTTAAGAAAATGCTCTGTTCAGTGGTGATAAATCAAAATCCACGTTGCTCATTGCAGACTTACAAAGAATGTTGTTTCTATCTGGGTCAGTATTTGCTTGAATATTTTTGAGTTTGCTCTGGATACAGTAATGGCCTTTTCATGTTGTGTTTTCTGGCAACATTTGAGAAAGTCTCTTGCAGGCAAAAATGTTCACTGTAAGTTCAAGTTATACAGGTACTGTGTTTACCTTCCTAGACATTCTTGTGGTCTGCTCTGGTTCAAATGGAAGCAGTGTCACTTGACATTCCAGAGAAGCTGCATCTCTGCAGTTCTACTCAAGTGCTGTACTCTGCACGCTCAGAAAATATTTGCTTTCTCTCCAGATTTATTTTAATGTATTTTGCTTTTTAATAATGTAAGCAGCATTCAGGAGGTTTAAGAAAATCCTATGTACACATGATCAGGGCAGGAGGGAAGAGAGGACCTAAATTCCTCTGCCAAATTGCTTGAAAATCACGTGCTAGACACTAATCCTTTTCCTTTAAGCATACGGAGGTTGTGTGGGTGGTGTTTCAAACACTGTATTTGAGATTATAGAGTGATACTTCACTTTGATGTGTGACAATAATAGTAAATAGATATCATTCTATGTAATGGTATTTTTAAAATGCTTGTACTTGGATCAGAACACTTTTGAATTCATCATTCTTCAAATATGCTTACTGGTTTTACTATTGCAGAAGAAAGGGGGAGAAGTATTGTCATTTGGAGAGGCTTGTGGAGAAATGGCTTATTTTAGGGTTTTTGACAGGAGAAATGGCTTATTTGGGTTTTTGATAGGACTCTTTAAGAAGACAATCCCAAGGTAAATACCAAGATCCAGATAGTTTTGTTGATTTGAGTGGTGCACAGGAAACCTCTTCAGGAAATATTTTTCAGGGTCATTTGTTTTATTTTGTTTTCTTTCCTTAAATTGGCATAGATTTCTACTCTAATGAGGAGGAAAGGCAGTGAAAGTACCACTGTATGGATAAATAGCTTCCTAAAAGCTTGGCAGGTAAAAATTAGGTTTTCCTTGTTAAAGGTCCTTCATGTTCTTTTTCTGCTGTACAACCTGTCCATCTCTGCTTTCTTCATATTTTTGTTTCCTTCTACTATAATATCTGTGAAGATTTTTGAACTAACAGAAAGTACCATCCTCTCATGTGAGACTCCCCACAACATTGTCTCAGCTGGAGTCAGTCATGGGCACTTCTACTCCAAGGGATAGCTTACATAACTACAATGAAATACCTAAAATACGCAGAAACTGCACTTCCTCAACCTGATTCTTTAGAGAACTAATGTTACAAGACGTCAAATCACATCTTTCTGAGGAGCTGTAGCAGAGCTGACTGACTCATCTCCTCCTAGACAAGTATCCAGAGGTCAGCCTAATAGCATGAGGCATGTGCAGAATACCTGCCAACCTCTAGTGCAGGGTATCATTTGGGCACGATGCAGCAAACATTACAAGGAGAAAGATCCCTGAAAATATTTATAAGAGATACCTTCTATGGTTCAGCAGCTGAATGTAGCAGGCAGTGTTTCATTATGAACAGGATTCAATTTTTTTCTTCCTATAAGGGCAGGTTTTTTAGATATATAAATAAATATATAAACAACAATCTAAGCATGCTATTAATTAGGACAGTCCCAATCTCAACCTTGGTTTGATTGGTCCTGTTTCCTTCCCTCCCCACTGTCCCTGCCACCTCCCCAAATGATTAAAATAACTCTTTAGATTTGAATAACGAACAGGTGCCTTCAAAGGCTGTATATCCGCTAAAACACAAGACAGCAAGAGCAGTGAAATGTTAATTCAAACAGAAACTCGACTTGCCAGCCATCCAGGAAAGACGCTTTTCACCCCCTCGTCACCGTGGGAACCATTCTATGTGATCCTTCCCAGATCTCTGCCAGAGGAGGGTGTTTCTCAGGGTGCCTGGAAGGTCACCAGGTTTCATTGATATAGGAGCTGGAGGAGAGGATGTTGCAGAAACCTTCACCTTGCGAAGACTCAGTAACACCCTCATTTCAAGTGAATGTGTGCAGTCTGCAAGGTCTCAAAAGAACTCAGCAATATGTAGGTGTAAACTGGAGAGAAACGTTGGGGCAGAAATTATCCCTGGCTGGTGCTGTTTCACACTACTTAGGAATGATGACTACAAAAGTAGCTGCTGAGAAATAGGAGTTAACGTGTTTCAACAACCAATTCTTACCTTTATTTAAAAAAAGATGAAAGACCTATTCCACAAAGCTCCAGGAAAAAAAAATCTGCTGAATTTAGTGAATTTTAAATGTTTCAAAGACTTGTTCTTGGAGAAATCTCACAAAATAACCTTAGATATTACTTCATTAGCTAGTCACTCATTTTGCAACATCTGATTTTTGTCTTAGCCAAAGTCTTAGCAAACAGAGCTATAAAAACATATTCTGAAGACTTTTGTTTGTTTCCTCTATTGCTGGTGGGGTTTTAGGGGTGCAGGGTGTTAGTGAATAGATAGCTGAAGATCCTACTTATTAATTGCATCTAACGAGCATGTTTTTATGAAACTGTCTTGGCCAAGGCATGAAAAACCAGTTCTAAAGGTGTAGTATGGTTGTGATACTATCTGATAGATTCTCTATTGTTTTTTATTTAAGGGTTATTGTCTTAACCCTTAAAAAAACCCAACAAAACAAACACCCCCTCCCCCCAAAAATACCAAAAACCCCCAAACAAAACCCAACAAACAAAAAGCCCACAAAACCCCACAAACTTTTCTAACCCCGTTTCAGCTTGATCCCAGTGCTGTAGCTATTGAGGATGGTTTACAAAGAGAAGCAGAAAACATTTCAGAGCCAGGGTTACAGGAGGCTAAATAAGCAGTAGGCACTTGAAGTAAGGCAACTTTAATACCACAGAAGCATTGACATTTTTTTAGTTTTTTTTGTCTGCGTTTAGTGCAATGTTTCATTCTCTCTTTACCCTAATGAAAATTTGATGTGCATTCTTTCTTAAATGGCATCTGATGTGGTATCTCTCTTCAGCTCTTTGTGGTTTCCTGTTTTTCATACACAGATGAAAGTATCTGCTGAGATCTATTAAACATCCCATTTTGTCATTTATGACTTTCTCAGTATAAGCCTCCATGTAACAAGTAGATTTCTTTGCACTTAGAAGTACAGTGAATGTCTTCTGCAATAGAAATGCAGGAATGTGTCTTTAGTGTTGTACTTCAAATTACTACTTGTTTTAATTTAGGTAAACTGTATATTATTTGTTATGCAGAACCAACTTAATACAATACGTCTTCTCCCACCCATTATCCTAAGTAATACACTTTTTGCATGAGAAAATAGCTAGAAAAACTAAGGCAATTTGGACTAATAAAATTGGCAAGAAGTGTGACTTTGTGAGGCCTACATCTTTTGTTGATTTGGCAGTTATTAACAAAATATTACTATGAATGTGTGAGATCTTGTCCTGAACCATTGTAGTGGTTAATAGTTATATGTTGGTTATATTTTGATTAATTAAAATGTTTTAAAATATCTTTTAATCTGACCTCCATGTGAAGCAGAACATGTTTAAGAGAAGGTGTTATGGCTTTGCAAAATTTGGATTTGACTCTTAGGACATGAGAAGAATTGCTATTCTTGAACAATTTCTTATAGTTTTGATAGTGATGAAATAAAGCACATTCAAGTGATCACCTTCATGTCAGATTCCAAATACAAGTATTTGGTTGATAAAATAACTAACCTGCATTATCTCCAGCTATACAAATAGAAACTGAATTTGACAGAACATGGCTTTGTGTATTAGAGAGGATAATTTTAATTTCCTGTCTATTAAAATTCATGTAACTGTCATGGGCTATGATAGGGCTTCGACCACTGTCAGTGGTATCTGGTTGATTGCAGTCATGTTACTTAACCAGTGTTTATGAACTTTAGCTATAAAAAAAAAAATCTCATCACAGCAGATACTGAATTGATCCTTATCATTCTGAGAAGAGAGACTGTGAATAAAGGAGTTCCTTACCAGGCAGAGAGCTGGACCTTTCCATTATTTTTGAGGGTATGAGATTGGTTGCTACACCTGCTTGGTAGAGTATTTCAGGTTCTTCAGAGTTCTTTTTACTGTCCTTCTATGGAAGCTTGAATAATTATCATTGTGAAATAAATGACACTTTGTTTGACTGTATTTAAAAGAAGGTAAACCATTCTTTTGTTTACTTAGGCTGCTTTCAGAAGTTTTTAATAGTTTTTAATATGGGGTTTTTTGTCTGTAGAGAAACCAAAAAAATGTTCCACTTCAGTTCAGTTCTGATGTCTAAATGAGGTATCCAATCTTAAGTATGTGGGTTTATTGAATTAATTATTTCTACCCCTCTCACAGAACTATAGTGCCATGGAAAGTGTTCAGGCAGTGCCTTCATGAAGTTCATCAGATTAGCTCTGGTTTGGAAGCAATGGCTCTTAAATCTACTATTGACTTGACCTGCAATGACTACATTTCAATTTTCGAATTTGATATCTTCACTAGATTATTTCAGGTAAGATTTGAAAATTTTAGATACTTGTGTGAATTTGAGAAGCTTAATGCCCTGAGACCAAGGAAGCAGATTTTCTTGAAAAACTGAAAGAACTGAAACACTATAATTTAGATATAAATTGTGCATTTCTTTTAGTCCATCAGCAATGTTTGGGACAGGAACACTTATATCTGAAAAACTGAAAACATCACCAACATCTGCTTCATTTCTGCAGATATCTAGAGTTATTACAATATCTTTGTGTTTGCTGCTTACTTTTGACTATTTTTAAAAACATTCCTAGAAATGCAGACCTCCAGGTAATCTAAGTTTTAGTTGTATTTTTTATTGTGCTTTTGTATCTCTGTATACTTAACGTGAAATGTTTCTGCAAACACATAAGGAAAGTTACATACTACTTTTTTTTAGGCTAAATGTAGGCCTAACTCTTTTCTTTATGAACATATTTTTGTCATTAATGCATTGCTGTTTATTTACAACAAGGAACCATGTTTAGGAAAAACATTAATTGTATTTATGTTAATAGGCAATATTTATCTGAAATAAGCTTGTTATGTGTGTTATGTACCTCTGTTAACCTTGTGTCCCTTCTGCAGAATATACTTGAGGTATTTTAGACAATACAGAAGGCAGTGCTGGTTTGCATCTATATTAGATGTACTGATTCTGAATTTGTCACTTTGGATATTTCTTTTGTATATAGGAATCACTGAGATATAAAACTATTTATTTGATCATTTAGTTTCTTTACCCTCTACAGAGATGAACTCATGCAGAGCCTCAAGTTGCACTAGGGGAAGTTTAGAGTGGATGTTAGGAAAAAATTCTTCTCTGGAAGAATTATCAAGCACTCAGGGACATGATTTAGTGGGGTACTTGACAGAGCTGGCTTAATGGTTGGACTTCATGATCTTAGAGATCATTACCAACCTAAATGATTATTCTTTAACCTACCGGAGATATGTTCAAAATACCAATTTTACATCAGAGTCTGGGTCTATGTTTGTTCTGTTTTCCATGTTGTTCTGTGATAATCGTGGTTTAGCTGTCTTAATTTTGCTGTCATGGGAAAGGATGTCATTATGAAGCTGATGTTAAAATTTGGCAGAAGTGATTAATGGTTTTAGTATAGAGCGTTTTGAGTTTGATCATCTTTTCTCTGAGTCAAAACTATCACAGTTGAAAATGTTAAGGGTGTCAGTAGTCTTTCTGTTTAATTTAACCGCAAACATCCGTCACCTTCTTTCTTTGTGAGGCCATTGGTGGTTTGATTCATTATTTTGCCTTCTGCTAGAAAAAGGGGATTGGCAGTACTGATATAAGTAAGGAGAGAAGACTGGTAGGGATTAACTTTTAATTTGACAAGGAAGCAGACAGATTTTTTGCCAAACAGATTACCAGCTGGTGCAATAGCTGCATAACTGTTGAAGTGAACTTGCACTGAACTTGATCTGAGAACCTCTCCCAGAGGTTACGTTTTGCTTCTCTGGTTTTTAAACAGCTTCTGTAACTGTGTGCATACACCCACAGAGAGAAAATCCCAATTAGGTAATCAAAACACTGTTTTGCCAACTGTGGGTTGTGTTACAGAAAAGCTGCATTTGTAATGATGCTTATTCACAGGAGAAAGCAAGACTGGTTTTTATGGAGATCCTGTAAAAGCGAAGTTGCTCCCCCTGCCTCTTCACTATTTGTAAGCACAGCTTTAAGTGCTGTGTTCCCTGACCAGAGAGAAAGTTAGCATGGCAGAATATGTAGATGCTTTGAAGGAAAACAACTTCATTCTGTTGCTGTTAACATGTTCATTTAAGTTGTCCTTCAATACAAAAATATTTCCATAGAAGAGAAAGCATACAAATCTTTTCCATTTAACATTTCTGCTTTTGTAATACTCTGTGTATGCATGGCAAGCTATGAGTTCTTGCCTTTTGATTTTTCAGTCACAGCGACACATCCATCTCCTCAGAGAGGAGAATCAGAATGGTTTGGGTTGGAAGGGACTGTAAAGATCATCTAGTTCCAACCCCCCCTGCCATGGGCAGAGACACTTTCCATTAGACAAGGTTGCTCAGAGCTCTATCCAACCTGGCCTTAAACACTTCAGGGCATGGGGCAACCATAACTTCCTTGGACAACCTTTTCCAGTATTTCACCATGCTCACAGTAAAGAATTTCTTCATAATATCTAAACCTACCCTCTTCCAGTTTGAAAACATTCCCCCTTGTCCTATCAATCCATGTGCTTGTAAAAAGTCCCTATTGAGCTCTCTTGCAAGCCCCTTTAGGTACTGGAAGGATGCTCTAAGGTCTCCCTGGAGCCTTCTCTTCCTCCAGGCTGGACAATCCAATCTCTCTCAGCTTGTCTTCCTAGGAGAGGTGCTCTATCCCTCTAATCATCTTCTTGGCCCCTTTCTGAATCTGCTCCAGCAGGTCTGTGTCCTTGGGCCCGAGAGCTGGATGCAGTACTCGGGTGGGGTCTCACCAGAAGCAGGGTAGAGGGAAAATCACCTCCCTTGACCTTCTGTTGCAGCCCAGGATGTGGTTGGCTTTCTGGACTGCAAGTGCGCACTGCTGGCTCATATCCAGCTTCTCGTCCACCAGCACTCCCAAGGCCTTCTCCACGTGGCTGCTCTCAATCCCTTCTCCACTCAGCCTGTACTTGTGCTTGGCATTACTCTGACCCAGGTGCAGGACCTTGCACTTGGCCTTGTTGAGCTTGTTGAAGGAGCTGACAAGATGCAGAGTTTTATCTAGGATTGAGATTTATTTTTTTTTCCCTTGCCTTTGTACAAATTTGAACACTTTAGGTTTCTTGTGACCTTTGTGCTGAAACCTGTCTTCTACTCTGTGTTCGGATTTGAAGAGGTATTTTAAAATAAATAGATTTTCATCTGTGTTTATGTAGTGGTTAGGGTTTGCCTGAGAAATGTAACCTACTATAAAGCAGAACTATTAGGATAATCTGCTTGAGCATGTCACACAGGCATTTCATCTCAGCCTGATCAGCCCTTAGAAGTTCTTTTAAAGGGAATTTGCCGGGCACATAGGAACACAAGCCTCTTGTCTTGTGTTGCTTAACTTCACCTGCCTTGATCTTTTGAGAAATAGATAAAAAAAGTCCCCAAACCATTCAGAGGCAGTTTCTTGACTCTCCAAATGCTGGCAATGGACAGTTATGTACTTGTATTACTCCACTACTTAAAAAAAAATCATCCTTCATTTACAGTGAAGGACTGATCTGTATTCTTTGAAGTGATAGCATATCAGGCATGTTTCACTGAATTTTGTGAAGCATTTGCTATTCAGGTCAGCAAAGACTCTGGTGAAGGGTTGTCATATTTGTTTTGTTTTCTGTCTGTAATACCATTATGGTGACTGAAGAGATCAAGAAGTAGAGAATAAATAAGGAGTGACAGCTCAAATTAGTGGCTTTATTAGGATTCATTTGTTAGTGTTACTTACCATTAACTATGAAAGTGCTTCAGGACCTCTCAAGAATAGGCTTAATTGTGTTTTAATAAACCATCGAGTCACACTTTCCAGGTTCTAACTAAACGTGATGTTTAATATTTTATGTAGCTACAAATAGAAGGTCTCTTAAAATCAAGGTCTTAAAATCTTTATCCAAAAATTTGCAGTTGATTTTCTTGGAATAATTCTTTTGAAGGAACACTTGTAGCAAAGCTGGATATATAGGATGGTCTTTTGTACTATTTAGATCTTAACCAAAAGTACATATTTTTCAGCTGAAGCTAAAACACCCTAGGTATCTCTGACATACAGACTTGAGCTTTATTAGAAATACAAAACTACCTGGCTGCATCTGTTTATTTGTTTGTCTTTTTCTTTTTAGCCGTGGGGCTCAATCTTAAGGAATTGGAACTTCTTAGCTGTGACACATCCTGGATATATGGCATTCCTGACATATGATGAAGTGAAAGCAAGGCTGCAGAAATACAGCTCTAAGCCTGGGAGGTGAGAGGTTTTGCTGCTCATTGCTTTCCAAATAAGCTTGTTGTCTCAGAACCTACATAATTATTCTAGGTTCATACTTCTATATTGCATGTTATTTAACACTCACTGCAGCATGAATGAATTTTTGGCTTTCCCCCCCCCCCCAATAACTGAGTTAATCAGAGAACTAGTAGGCTTCTTTTTTTACACTTGTGATTTTATTTATATAAAAATGTATTTTTGCAAATAGCTGAATATTAAAGCTCTGAACTACACATTTAAGAAATGCTGACCTTTTAGATTTTAAGACATAGGAACTTTATAAACATTATCTGGCCATAGTTCTTCTGCAGTGCTATTAAGCAAAAAAATGCCGTATTAGCACACTGAAGTCTAAATAAGTACAAATAAACAGAAAGAAGTTGGAAAAACGTTGCTTTTCCTTTCTTCTTCTGAATTAGGTATAACAAACAATGCGTTCTTGAAAAGCATATTTGAAAATCCAAGTTTATATAAAATCCAAGTTTATATAAAGATACTATTTTTATTTAATAGTAGAGTAAAAATCACCTTAACATCTTTCATGGTAACACATTCAAGTTATGAATTTAATCGGTGCTTATGTGCTCCTTTTGTGTTCATATTTCTTTTTTTCTTTGCTTGTAATCATTCTATATCATAAACTCTTCACCTAGAAAAGCCATCAGTCAGATAAAAGATCATGATGTGTAGAGGTTTTAAATAATGTCTATGTGGCACTGTATGTACTGAATTATTAAAGCTGAACTTTTATCATTTATGCCACTGTTGTTGTGGGTTTTTCTCTTCACTCAGATTGGAGAAATAAAAATCCATTAATGGATTTAATCTGTATTAGTTACTTTTTATTTTACTAGTTTTATCTTACAGTTATGAAGATTTCCCCTAATGTCTACTTGTCTAAATTTGCTGCAGAATCACATGTATATGCAGTTAAAGTGCATTGTTTTGAAACTTGTTAGAGGTGTCCAGCAACAGTTATATCCATATTCTGTACTTGCTTTTTTTTAATTTTTAGCAAACGATATACTGTATCTTGTTAAGATACCCAAGTGGCCAAGTGCATATGTACAAAAATCTCTTGGTCCTGATAGAATAATACTGTTTTTTAGCTTGGTACTCATGGTCACTACTAGTCAGATAACTAGGTTGCTTTTGAGAGTGATTGCTATACTTAGTATTTTCTCTATTATTGATCCCAATTCTGTGATAGAGAAATTATCCAAAGTTGCTTTCATGTTTCTTGTAAATAGAGAGTTAGTTTTAAGATAGCTTTCTATTGCATATCAGAAAATTACTTTCTGAATTGCTTAGGTGAAATGCTAGAGTGTGAAAGAGGAAATATGCAGTAAAATTGCTTCTTTAATTTGACTAAAACATCCTGGAAATTACAAGATTCTGTTCAAACGAATACTTACTACTTCAATGTAATGTGAGTCCTGTTGAAGGTTGCAAGAGCTTTGCCAAACTTCAGGGAGGCTTAGATTTCTCATATTAGTTTGAAAGGAAATAAAATATTGATGTATAATTAAGAAAAGCTGCTCTATAGTTCCAAGTTGAGTTTGTGATATTTCACTGTGGGATGCTTTTCAGAGTGAGGTTTTTGCATATGAGATGGTGTCTGATGTGAAAAGGACTAGAGTTTTTAGTAAGAAACACTCTACATGCACAATACTGTTGCCTATAATCTTCCTTTTCTTCTGATTGTGCTCTCTGTCTACATTATTTATTCTCCCAGCTATCACCTGTACACACAGAAGTATTTAAATTTAAGTCCAACTGTATCGGTAATATCTGCTATTTTCTGAAGTAGAATTGATATTTCTTCTGTCCTGTTCACCTCTACAGGTTCACAGAAAATTAACATTGCTAGTAGAGCTTGTTTTATCATTTATCTTTACCTTTCCTGTTGCGTCTAAAGATGCTTTATGTTTCCCCTTCCATTCGTTCAGTTTGTTGACCTGCCTATGCACAAAAGGTGTATGTTGTATGTATGCAAACTTGATAATTTAATACACTCGAAGAGGTTTATGGGCATGGCTAAATGTGACTGTTCACAGTGAATGTGTGCCTTTCACTTTGAGAACTAAAAAGCAAGCAGGTGAAAAGTTGGGAGTAGGGAACTGCTGTTACTTTATTTCTGCCCGTGAGAAACTGACAGTGTAAAAGATGCAGGTTTATTTAAGGTTATACAAAGAACACGTGGCAGAATTGGGAATCTGAGCCAAATCTTCAGAGACCTAATTCAGTGCCTTAACCAGAGGCCATCCTTGCTCTCTTCACTTGGTTTGCTGAACTCTGATTAACACTGACTTTTTATTCGTCTTGTTTTTATCAAGCTACATTTTCAGACTGAGTTGCACTCGCCTGGGACAGTGGGCCATTGGGTATGTGACTGGTGATGGGAACATACTGCAGACCATACCTCACAATAAGCCTCTGTTTCAAGCTTTGATTGATGGCAGCCGGGAAGGATTGTAAGTACAAATTCCTACAGTCACCACGGGTATGAAATTCTGATTTTCTTATTCTTTTAATACTTATAAGGGTAGGTAAAGGTCTTTAAAACAGAGAATCTGGATATTGTGGTTAGCATTCTTTGGAGTTTAAAGACCATCCTTTTTATTCATTTGAAAAACACTTCTTCCTAGTTAATTCCATTCACCAAAGTTACTGAAAGTTAACCAAAGTCATATCTCATGGCAAGTAATTCCATAAGAAAATAAAATCAGACAGCTGTTGCATTGATCCCTCCCTGCCTCCCCCAAGAGTCCCAAATGCACTTAAGCTTATTGAGCAGTTACTACTCATCTGTCTAACTCTGGACAATGATGTGAAAGCTATGTAATTGCTTTTTTATATATTGTGCAGCCAGGACATTTTCCATATTCTAATAGTTTACTGAAAAGATTTATAATTATTAGAGAATTAGGCTTATAGGGAGAAGTATTACATTTTTACTAGGTTGGCTGAAGTAGCAGTCAAATTTTTGGTGTCAGAATCTTTTGACTGAGATACATGTTTTGTTATATCCAAAATTATTTATATATAAATATAAACACACATATATATACATAAATATAATGTGAAAGAAAAAAGAAAGGCAGTTGATCAATCCTCAAAAAAAGATTGAAAAATCCTTTGCAATCTTGCAGGTTTTCTCAGTCCTGCACAGTCTAGTATTTTTTTTCTGGTATGATGATTTCACACCTGTAATAAAAACACACTAATATTAGTAGTGTTTCTCCTTGACAAAAACTGAGCAAAGAGAAACTAAGGCTGTGAATATTGCAGAGTGAAGTTTTTGTACCTTCTGAAAATGTGGCTTTCTCATTGAGTTGTTGAACAACATGAGACTTTCAAGAAACTGTTTCCAAGTTACAGGTGACATAAATTGGAATATAGAACAACTCGGGGTCTCTGTGATATCATTTGACCTATTGGTAATTTCCTACATGACTGAAATGCCCCCATCAGTTCTTGCATAAAGTCCAGTCTGCATCATGGATTCTTAGCGCAGATTCTTGTCATAATGTACACAGACATTCACATATATAGTGTTATGATATATGTATCATAATACACACTGATATACACAGATGTGTGTTACCTTCTATTCTGCTGCTTTACTTGAAATAGTCTGTGGTGTTTCCGAGCATGATGCTCTCAGTGGAGAAATCACTAGGAACATATGCAAGTATAAGCTCACTGTGAAACAAAGATCTAAAATAATGTTCTGTTGAGCTACCACTACAAAGTTATCTGCTAATCAAAGCTCAGATGCATTGTACTGGTAGCTATGCATGTGATGTCAGAGTCTTTCCTGTGCTTTTATAAATAGTCTTGAGCATGTGTCAAAATGCATATGTAGCAATTCAGCATGTATTGTAGCAACCCAAAAGATAAAAAAGATGGCTGAGGAAAGATGATTCATTTTAGTTAATGTCTCCTGGAACTTATTCTACCCCCATGAAATTTTATGGGTATGACTTAGGTTATAAAACCAAAGAAATGTGCATATTTATAACAGTCTTCTTGTGATGCAGCTATTTGTTCCCAGATGGAAGAAGTTATAATCCTGATTTGACAGGATTATGTGAACCCACACCACATGATCACATAAAAGTCACACAGGTATGTTGCAGAGTTTGTCAGTTATTTTGTAATCTTCACTTCCCTGAGTCTCATCTAGCAGTGATAATAAGCTTTTACTAAAATGTGAGCAATAAATTCGTAAGAGTGAAAACATGTTGATAGAAGAGTTTAGATGAAGACAGGATAATAATCCTTTCAACTGTAGAGCTGATGGTGATGCAGACTGCATGTCTTCAAAGTTTTGTTTATTGTAAGCCTCTTCCAAGTGAGAAGTATTTTAACAGTTACTAAAGTTTTTTCTGATATTTATGTGAGAGGTTTATGTACCTTCTTCTTTCCTTGCTAATAGCAGATGGGAATACAGAAACAAAATGACGATCAAATAGTATTTTTGAAGCCTCAGTAGGAATTGTACAGTTTGTTGACAGGTTCAGGAGGAACAATATAGTTCATACATCGCAAAGATACCAGTTCCAGGGTCTCTCTCCTTTCTTCTTTGTCTATTGGGCTAATTAAAAGAGAGATCAGGGAAAACCAACCAGAATAATTAAATGCCTAGATGGAGTCACTTTGCAGAGAATTGCAGGGAAAATTAGAATATGTAGTTGTGTTTATAGTCTTGTTAAGTGATGATATGATTAATGTGCAGATGTTCAATAGTAAAGTGGTAGGAAGTAGCCACCACAAGACAAATGCCTGAATAAACATGGTGTTGACATTAACACTAGAAGGTTAAGGCATACTGTGTAGAGCTTTTTTCCTGACAAAAGCGTCTGGAAGACTTGAGGATATGTTGAAGGAAAGACATCAGGCTAAATACAAGCCATACTGTCTCAGATGGTCTTTATTTCTTCAGAATAGACAGGATGACATGGTGAATCTTCTGTAATTCTGAGTGCTCTATATGCATTCCACCTCCAGAAATATTTTAGAAAAGAATTATACTTTACCATCTATGGTATTATCAGGAATACCGTTATGAAGATATTAGTTTTGTAAGCAAGAGAATTCCTAGAAACAATTAGCTGAAGAAAATCTGAGTACTTCCACATATCTGACTTCCCTCTTTTCCCTCCAGCCTTAAAATAATAATGAAAGAGTAATGTTCTTGTTCTTCACAAGCCACTCATTTTGAATCCATTGAATGAATCCAGTTGTTTCTGAAGCTGTAGTTATGAAATCATTAGCTGATTTTGATGGTTGTTCAACAGTCTGAATTACGTGAATGCTGCCTTAAATAATACATAACTGAAGAGGTTTAAAGCTGTCACTAGAGCTGCTTAAACTATGAAAAGATGGTATGAAAGTGGCTGCAGGGCTATATTGCTACAGATGAATTCTTTGCCAGAGTTCTATCATAAACATCTTTAGTACATACTGACTAAAGCTGCAGATATGAGCTGTCTTTTATTTTCTGTTTTTCTTAGCCTTATTTCCTCTCTCTTTACTTAGCAGTAGATGCTTATTTTCCTGTGACCTGGATTCTACTTATTTTAGGCTTTCAAAATTTGGTTTTTCAAGACTAAAAAAAAGCTCTATTTCTATACAAATGCATTTAATTGTCAGTTCCCCAACAATACCTAATTCTAGAAAACTGTTCTGGATTCAAGTTTTATCTATTATTATTCTCCTGAAGATGTTCTTTTACCTTCCTGTCAGTCTTGTAAGGATACAAAGTACTGAATGATCTGTGTATGGCTATTCCCATGTTATCCTGAGCTGTATTCTTGCCATACTTCCTTCACACGGGTGAGCCATACTACCATACTACATCCTTGCTGTAGGCAGAAAGCCTTCTTGCCTGACAGTTTTCAATCCAATACTTTTCTTAGCCCTAAATTCATACCTAGAAAAGGAAATCCCAGTTTTGTTCCCCTTCATCACTTAATTTCTCACTTAGAACCATATGTTCGTTCTCCTCTCCTCTTAAGTGCGGCCAAGGAAAAGCAGGATGTATGCCTTGTGTGGTAGTTACATGTGAGAAGTCTGTACAAAACCTAATAGGCACAGGTATTTAAACATTTTGTGCCATGAATTGTAGTATCTCATAGATTTGAAGGAGCAAAAATGTAAGCTCTTTCAGTTACCTTAGTATGGCTTTTAATTAGATCAGTAGCAAGAGTTTCCTTGTCTAATAAGTAAAGCAGGTTGGAAAACAGGGCACTTGGAGAAATGCTTGTCACTATTAATGCTTAAGTATATTCTTTGTGAACCTGTCACAGGAAAGAATAATCACTTGACTTTCTTTTGTTACAGGAACAGTATGAACTGTACTGTGAAATGGGCTCCACTTTTCAGCTGTGTAAAATCTGTGCAGAGAATGACAAGGATGTGAAGATAGAGCCTTGTGGACACCTTATGTGCACTTCTTGTCTTACAGCATGGCAGGTACTGTTGTAGTTCAGTTAGTGGAGAAGAGGATGGATTTCTCTGTTACGTTCCTGTTTACAGTGTGGGTAAATGTTTACTCTTCCAGGTACAAGGATGTGTATATTTAAAATGATAAACTTTTTTATTTTGCAGACCAGAAATCTGTGAAAAACAAAGCTCCAGAAGTGTTTACAGTCTGGACTTGGAGTCTTGCCAGGGTCATTTGCTGAGTGCTACTGAGTGGAAATTATTTCCTGAGTGTAGTGCCTACTCAGACAGTGCAAGCTGGGCATTTGGTGCCAATTCAGTCACCCAGGTCACTTCATGATGTATTCAAAAGGCACAAAGAGGACATGTAGCAGCTGGGAATGGATAACTAACTAGACAGCATTTTATATGGAGAAGAGATGACTTCAGTGAGGGAAGGATTCAGTCAGTAATACAAGTCTTGAAGTGACCTGTGGAAGATAAGCTCAGGATTCGTGTGTTTCACGTTAATAACAAGCAAAGCACTAAACCACCTTGCTTTAGATGGTTGTTGGACTAAGACATTGAATGGAGGGGAAACTCCATTCTCTCAATTTCATTTATAGAATACCCAAAAAACACAGAGACTTTCTGGTGACACAGGTTAGGGTGTTTTGTCCATCTTGTTCATGGATATACTAGTCTGTGGGAAATGGGAGAACTGGTACCTTTAGTTCAGCACAGTTGACAAGTATTTGACCTAAAAAGTAATATTGAAAGCAGAGGTCATTTTACAGCTTCAGACTTCCCCTAATAGGTGCTTCTCAAAGTGCATCAACTGTGCTTCTTCCCTTCCCCTTTCTTCTTCCTTATCTGTATTTTATGGGGAGAAGTAAGGGTCATCCAGTTGTCAGACAGGACTCTGTTCCACAGTTAGACACCATTCTTTGCTTACAACTGTAGTGAGAAGAGTAAAAACAATCCTTGACTCTAGTCCATTTTTTACTTGGTTTTAAATGAGTTTGTCTCAGTTAATGGGTTTTCATTCTTTTGTATGAGATACGTCTTCAAGTACTGTAGTTCTTTTCTAATTAAGAAATTTTCTGTCTAATTGACAAAGCATCACTGGCAAACCAACACGATATATCAGAAGTATCATTTGAGTTTTTCTTCCATTAGCAATAAAGCTTGCTGAAAAAGACATATTCTCAGTTTCCAATTTTGTGTTCTTCGTGATACATGAGTTTGATGCTCCAAACACAAATCTTTCAAATTCCCCATAGATCAAAAATTCTGAAGAAATTCCATTTGAGGCATACCCAAATAAGAATATTTATTTCACTACTAAGCAACTGCTGAGATGGAACAATGTTTCTCATTTCAGGAGTACACTTCCTCTATTCTTTCAAGTTTCATTCTGAATGACAGATATAGACGTCTGACTACATTGATCATTGACTTAAAAATTTTGAAAAATTCTGAAGTCTTGTAGATTTTGGGATTTTTTGGCTCAGCTGAAAGGGCAGAAGGACTGAAATCTTTTTATTTTTGATTGGTGGGTGTCTCATGGCATGATAGCAGCATGGTCCAGTGTTGTGCCAGTGATGTGCTCTGATTTTGGAGACTTGAGAAGTTAAGGGCCTCAGTAATTTGGCTGGTGGCTAGGGATTCAGGAAGAGGACCACTGCTGAACATGAGCCAGCAGTGTGCCCAGATGGCCAAGAAGGCCAGTGGCATCCTGGCCTGTATCAGGAATAGTGTCACCAGCAGGATCAGGGCAGTGATTCTAACCCTGTACTCAGTGCTGGTGAGGCCACACCTTGAGTACTGTGTCCAGTTCTGGGCCCCTCAGTTCAGGAAGGATATTGAGGTGCTGGAGAGTGTCCAAAGAAGGGCAATGAGGCTGGTGAAGGGACTGGAGCACAGGCCATATGAGGAGAGGCTGAGGGAGCTGGGGTTGTTCAGCCTGGAGAAGAGGAGGCTCAGGGGAGACCTCATCACTCTCTACAACTCCCTGAAAGGAGGTTGTAGCCAGGTGGAGGTTGGTCTCTTCTCCCAGGCAACCAGCAGTAAGACAGGAGCATGGTCTTAAGCTGTGCCAGGGGAGGTTTAGGTTGGATATTAGGAAGAAATTCTTTACAGAAAGGGTAATCAGGCATTGGAATGGGCTGCCCAGGGAAGTGGTGGATTCACCATCCCCGGAGGTATTTAAGAGATTGGATGTGGCATTCACTGCCATGGTCTAGTTGACAGGGTGGTGTTGGCTCATGAGATGGACTCAGTGATCTCAGAGGTCTTTTCCAACCTGGTTGATTCAGTGATTCTGTGAAAGCATTTTAGGCTCAGAACTGACATGTTTGAAATCATCAGGCTTCATTAGAACATTGCTACCAGCTGTAATTGGTCAGGTACATTTTGGACTTCATTATAAATTTAACTTTTGTATAATTAGTGAGGCAATGAAGAAATATTACACTGTAACAGCATCAGTTGTTGCAAGCTTCTGGTGGGCTAATGTTTAATTGGCAGCATAATGGCTCATTAGACATGCCTCAAGAGACCCATACAGATGTTTTCACTAAGCAGAAAAAATTGAGTATGCAACATCAGATCTGCATAGAATACTAAGGATGATTGAGTTGTTCACCTTTATGGGGATCAGTCTCCCAAAGAAGACTTGGTTTACCTGTTTCCTTTTTGTATTATGCAACAGGAGTAAAATCTTATTTTATTCCATAGAAATCTATTCTTGTCTGAAAACTATATGTCTGGTCTTGATTCTAAAAGCATATGGGCATACATGGATTCTAAAAGCATGTGGGCATACATGCTGCATTGTAAGGTTCACAGTGTTCTAAATAGCCTTTCTGAGGGCATGGACAAGCATGTGTGTTCATACAGACATCTCGGATCTGTTTTATTTTCTCAGTTGTCTTCATACTGTTGAAAAGAAGTCTTTGCTGCTGTGATTTGTTTACCAGTAATTTTGAAAAGAAAGGACAGGAACTGCTGGTTCAGAACTATTTTCCAACACAGATACAAGAAAGCCTTGAAAACTAAAAGCCTCATCAATGAGGGTGCTTCTAGAAAATTAATCTGTAAGGAAATGTATAGAGTAAGGGAAGACTTCTGTTCACTCGACAGCGGCAGTAAGACCATATAATTTGGAGGTGCTCTTTGAGGTAGAAATATTGACCAGGTATTTGTAATTAAGGTGCTAAAAGTAGAGTACAGTTATCTCTCCGTACAGAATGAAAATCTAGTACTAGTCATACAAATAGACAAGACTGTCAGGAGACATCATTTATATTTATCTGGCCTTGGGATACAGTTCTTCCATAGACTGTAAAATCATCTGTCAGTTTAGTAAGACTGGCAAGTGTTAAGATAAAAATAATGCTAGAAAAAAATTAAAGCTATTCTTGCATCTGAGAAATCAAAAACCTCTGCTTGCTTGATTATATTACAACATAGGTAAGTTATTTAGAATTAATTTTGGTGTACATACCCTTTTTAGCTGTCTGTCTACCTGAGTACAAATATGACATGATGTGATTTCTGGTTTCGCTTTGAATTACCTTGATCTCTCAAAGCTTCAGGGCTCTTCTGGGTATGGGTTTGGTTTATGTTTTGTCCTTTTTTTGAGGGGGGGTGGGTATTCAAGGTGTTTTGGGTTTTTTGTTGGTTTGCCTGGGTTTTGTTGTTTTGGTTTTTCATACAATTCTACATTGTTCCTCTTGATGGAAATATTTCTTTATAAATGCTTGAAAGACTTTTCTCTTATATTTTTGTTTATTACTAGTCTGAAATCTTGGCTTTTTGGTTACTTCTTATGAGGAAAAAATAAATTTTTGGAATAAGTAAAAGAAACTGAATATGGCTGCTTGAAAATCATTGAACACACACCACTCAGAAATTAAAATTAAAGTGGTTCCTGTTTCTGATAACATATGAAAATAGATCCTTGGTTTATATAATATATGAAAAATGTATTTAAGTCCTGGTTTGTTAAACATGTAAAAAATATTTGTAGCTTTAGGTGGTCTGAATGCATATTTCTGAATGCTGGTAATGTTGCAACCATGATGGACTTCATATCTATCAGAAAATAAGAGCTGCATGCTGTAAAGCTTGTCTGTATTTCCTAACTTCAAATCAAAGAGAAATACTTTGCCTTTAATATAAAAGATATATAATAAAATGCATTGTCTCTGTCTACACACCTTGCCTTCTTTCTCTTGAAGAAATAGCAAATTGGTAAGCCTAAAAGGCCAGATGTTACTTCCTGACCTGTAATATTAAGACTGTTTTGGTACTTTGTAGATTTAATAGTTGCATTTTGATTAGTTATTCTTAAGTGAACCTTAAAGTGAAGAGAGAAGGTTTTAAAGGTGCAGTCATTTTAGGATTTATTATAGTTAAATATTTGTTAATCAGTCTCCTGTTCACTCCACTACTTCTTTAGAAGCTTTTTGAGACTGGTTAAGGATGTTTCTTTGTAGAAAGATTTAAATCTATTTTTTAAATTATTTCTATTTATTATTTTTTAAAATTTATCTGCTTTTTTGTCTTGCTGTAGGAATCTGATGGCCAAGGCTGTCCTTTCTGCCGCTGTGAAATCAAAGGAACTGAACCAATCATTGTGGATCCCTTTGATCCAAGGGATGAAAACTCCAGGTGCTGCAGTATTATTGATAGCTTTAGTATGCCCATGTTGGACTTGGATGATGATGATGATAGAGAAGAGTCTTTAATGATGAATCGTTTGGCTTCAGTCCGAAAGGTAAGTTTTCAAGCACTGTGCAACACCTAAAGTTAGATGTTTGTAAGTTAAGCTGCCTGTAACTTTAAAAAATCAGAGCTTGCACTTCATTCTCTAGGCTTCATCAAATCACTGAACAGTTTTTGGGTTAAAAAAAAAAAGCATCAGTCATGCAACATTAACACTGAAGTTGAATAGTAGAAAAAATTATTCCAGATTCTCAGCTGATGGGAACTGTGTTAACTTTGTTTATAATGGACAAAGCATGAGTTTGCACCAGCTGAGACTGTTATCCAAACTACACTGTATGGACAATTCCCTGAGCTTTTATTTGTAAGGAACAAAAAGATTCATATATACATATATTACTAGTTTTCTACATCTGTGTGTATACACATGCATAGAATGTTTTAGGATTAAACTTGAGTTTCTAAAGAAGTTATAAATATTATTACTTTGTAAAGGTGGCTTGGCAGCCAATTCATATTGCACACAAGTAGTTTTTAATCATGTTTCAAGTGGGCTGTCTGTGATGTTTTTTCTATTTTTTTAGTATTAGGTACTTCTAGTGGGAAAAGTGCTTTTGAGATTTTTCATAGTGACTTTGTGCTTTGGGATGTTTTTTGTCCTCAAAGTGCTCTGTGTTAAATTTTGGGATCTTTCTTTGGTCACAGGAGATTTTATTACTGATAAATAAGCACTATCCTTAACAAAAGTTTATTTTATGGTGATAGTTTTCACAACTATATTTTAGCCTGGAACAGATACTGTCATAGTCTGTGCAACACTGATTTTGACAGGGCATTTTCTAGATTTTACCTTTTACTGAGGTCATCTGGATTGAGCAGTTGCTTTGGAATTAATTCTGTAATGTCTTACTCTTCCATTTCCTTATCATTTTATTTGTTTAAAAAACCCAACCCGTGCTTCACCCTCATATCTGAGAGTATCTATCAGTTAATATACACATTTCTGATATCCTTCCTAACCTCTTAAGGCTTATGAATCATTCTTGTGTTGTGTACGTAATACAACATGGTCTACCCTTGGGAACAGTTTATCCTTCCTGCCTGGACTTAAATTGTAGTCTGCAGCCTGACCTCTGTGAGATAGCCTTGAAATGATGGGCTTTTATAACACTATCACTTCCATGATAAGGCAAAAATGCATTATGCTTTTATCAAAGGAAGGAACAATAGACTTTACAATAAGAAGTCTTTGGTATCCACCAAGTGCTTGAGTGCTTTGGTGCCTTGCTGTGAAAAAAACCTACTAATTATTCCTGAAGTTTAGGAACAGAGTTTTTTCACTGTGTTAACCTCTTGAAGTCCTTACTTGAAATTCTTGAATTATTGGGTCATTTGGTGATTTTCAGCTGCTGTTTTCATCTTAAAACTGTTACTAGTGGTTGTGTAGTGATGCTCTTAACCATACCACATGTGTGGAATATAACATAGTTTACATACACTTTTTGCTGGTAATGTCTTCATCAACTTGGTCTTTTTTGAATCATTACTTATTTTGCCTGCTAAGCAGGGTTTCTTTGTAGCCTGCTAAAAGAAATTATTTTTTTCTCTGACATGTAGAACTTTGCTTTTTTTGAAATTTTCTTTTGTTTATTGTTAATGCTTAATATGAACATGATACGGCATAATTGACTGTGTTGTAGTAACTTAATTTGTTCAGACAGTGGAAGTTGATGACAAAGACAACTTAGCTCTTGCAGCCACCCTGCTGATACTGTAGTAATCTCAATGAACAAATTTTTCAGTTCTTGCTTTGTTGCAAGGACTACTGTATCCTTTTTCAACATAAAACTGTTAATCCTTGAAAATCAAATGGGCTGTATTTGTCTCAAGTCACCTGGCTAGACCATATGGTATTCTGAGAAAAATCTGGCTAGTAGTGAGATGGGATGTTAACCTTGCTAGAGGAAAAGAGTTTTGGGGACATGAAGTTCTGATGAAAGTGACTGTGGGGCTTCATAATGTGTTGAGGAAATATATCAATCAGATATCAGAAAAATACAAGTTCTGCAGTTTATTATTCTTATCCCTGAAGTATACTTAGAAACTGTAAGAGATATCTAAATTAAGGCACTGGAGGACCTCAGACTTGAAATTGCTTCAAGGAAAAGAATAATCTTGAAGCTCCTTACTCAATTGTTTAATGGAATGAGTAGATGGATGGATACTCATGAAGAAAAATGAATCATTCTTGTTGGGTGTTGTGTGTGAGTCAGCAGCAGCAGCAGTTCAGCTGTAACAGAGGCTTTAGAGAAATCCACTGCAATTAGTCTGTTTATCTGCCTCATCAAGCAGCTTAGGGGTTTTTTTTTAATTTCCAAATTGTTTTCAGTTATTTCTTTATGAAAGAAAGATGAAGAGTGGTGTCAAAAGCCTGTGTTAATTGTTTTATTGCTGAGAAATTTCCAGCCTCGTGGTATCAGATTAGCTAATGCAGTTCTTGCCTGAAATGTTCCTTTTCTCAGTATTAGTTTTTGAAAGAGGTGTAAATGCTGGGAGACAGTGTGCCTCCCCTAGTTAAGATATATTTTACTGATTCTTTTGGCAGTGTGGTACTGACTCTGACAGGCTTAACTCCCTCTCCCTCCTCCACGTGCACTTTGTTGGGTCAGCAAAGGAAAGATCAAATAGGGAATACACCTGTCTTTGTAAAAATATGTTTACAACCATCAGTGTTGAGTGATGTAACTTTATATCCTCATATAAATTTTGGAAATGAGAAGTCCATTTCTGGTGTAGGTCTGCCTGGACCTTCTTAGGTGTCTCATGCAATTTATGATTTTGCTCCAGCAGTCAGGATAGTATTCCTCAGTGAGTCACTTGTTAGGATTTGTGTTGAGTATGCTTTTCATATCTGTCTATCTGGGAGAAAAGTATTTGAGTATTTGAAGCCAAGATCCTTGATTCAATAGCCTGACTCTTAATATTTCCATCAGAAAAATCTTGACTAGAAATTTTAATCAGTGTTGGAAGCAGGCTTTTTCTTGAATTCACATCTGCCACAGGCAAACTGATACCAGTATGTCCCAGTAATAAATACAAGTGTGGTCCGTTCTGCAGTTCAATTGCAGAGGAAGTCACAGCTGCTTTTCCCTTGGCAGCAGTCACGCCAACCAGATGAAGTCCATGTTGTTACAAAGGAGTCTGTGTTCTTTTCCTTAATTACATCTTTATTGCACAGGTCTGTGTGTGTTGCAGCAGAGCCCCTTTGTACACTGAAGGTCTGTCTTCTGTCACTGCCAGTTCATTTGAGTTAGTTTTTGTCTTAATCACTTGCTTGTTTTATCTTTTTGTCACTGTGCTCTCTGGTTGCACATTTATTTCCAGCAAATACAAAATACACAGAAATCTCCAGTAGGTGACAAACAGAAACATTTTCAATCTCTTTGTCCTTAGGGAGTCACCAAAAAGAGTAGGTATTGTGTTAATCTGTTAGAGCCCTGGTATCCACGTGAGATGCAGCCATATCGTTGGCCTAGCTGTCAACACACATCAAACTGATGCAGCCAGTCAGGTTGGATGGGGGTGGACTGAAAAATATGGGACTTCTATAATATGATGGAAATCTGATGTTGAATACTGAAGAAAATCTTTTTGTTGCTGTGTAATATTTGGGTTTTTTTTTATTTTTAGTATCAGTAGATCTAAACAAGGAATCATAATTTTTAGTTTGTCTCAGCAAAGCTTTCACTCTTAGTTCAGCACCAATAGGTGATATGGATTAAGCTATCTTGTAGGGGAAGAGAAACGGCTTTTGCTTGCAACTGTTTTCCTTTTTTCTTTTTATTTTTTCTTTTGCCTTATGAGTTACTCTTTAACCTGTTGGTCATCATCAGTTCCTTTTTTGAAATCTCTGGGACCACAGCATGTTGCGGTAGCATAGTGGCTGTAGGCAGTCGTAGTCCAGGGGACTGAAAAATTACTTCACTGTTTTGAAACAAGGCATAAGAAGACATTAATGTAAACTTAAATTGAAGTCCTTTAACACATTCACTGCTTTGAAAATTTTCCAATTCATTTTAGTAGTTCTGGGTTACCATCCATAGAGTGTGCTGGGTACAGATAGCCGACTACCAAATATATACAGAACTAGAAGTTTACCACATAAATTAAATCTCTTGCTTCAGTGGTGTTAAAATCAGTCAGGTTTTAAATATCTTGGAACTTTTAAATGAATTTTCATATTATTCTAATTTTTGTTAGTGCCTATTCCATATTAGGTGTGTCTTTCAGCCACTTGTTTTTGTAAATCAGAAAATAGCATCAGTCCCTACTGAGTTTTAAATGTGAATATTTTCATGATTTTTGTCTCTGCTGGAGCTAAGACTGTTATGGCAAGAGAAAAGAAGTCTGACATGGATGGAACCAGTGGGCTCACTGAGGGATGAGCATATCATTTTGCCTAATGATTCTTTAGAGCAGAACTGTGTAAGAGAAGGTCACCATATGGAAAAAAAGACCAGTATTATCAGAATGATATCACTACAGTGTTGTTCACTTAGCTGGGGATTCTTACAGCTCCGTGCAGTGTGACATCTGAGACTGTCATGTTGCCCTCTGAGGAAATTGCATTAATTAGTGTGATGGTGCAACAATTAGAACATCTTAAATTCCAAACAAATGCTTCCTGTCCAGTAATCTGTTTCCAGTATTTCCTATTTTCCTTATTCTTTGTTTCCAACTCCTATTACATGTAAGTTTGTTCTTCTGGAACAATTCCCTGCTGACTGAAATGCATTATCTTGTGCAACACCATAAAATGTTGAGAATTAACTACAGCACTTTCATTTTTTTTAAAATAATTGCATCTTTTTGGAGGTGTGACTTGGTTATTTGGTTCTGTTTCAGATAATCTGGGAAATAAATTAATTTTCTGTCTGCTGAAGCCAATCCATTGAATGTATTATATTGCATGGTTCTTGGCTTTAGGGAATGCTTGGTGGAGTTATAACTAAACTTTGAAAACTAATGCTATTAAATGATACAATGTTTATTATGCTATTTAACTGATGCTTTCTGATAAGGAAAATGAATTGACATTTGGTTTATAGTAATTTTATAATTACGGTTGCTCAGGCATGCTAGCAAGATACATATCTAACTTAGTTATTCAGCTTTCCATAATGTTCAGAGAGGCTAGAGTACTTCAGTCACTCGTGTTTATCTTCGTGGTCTTCCAGTCAAGGACAGGGGCATTCACCAACTAAAGGAAACAAAGACAATTTAAAGACTATATTCAAGTCATTTAATATGAACATTACAACCACTTCTTCACTGAAGAGAGAAACTGTAAAACCTCTGATAGCCAGGAAGAGCATAAATCCTCAATTGCTCGATCTCTTGAAGGTGAATGTTTAGTTGTGACACTGAGCTTACCCGAAGCTGTAGACAAAGTAGGAAGACCCTAAATAGGAACAAAAAAAATCAACCTAACAATGGAATTGCACCTTAGTCTTCTGGCTCTTCAACGGCTCCTCACCTGTCTTTTGCATTTTCTTGCCCTGTCAACAGTAATACCATGGTGTTGCCTATTTTTGAAGGAAATGTGGTAGCAGTCCCACTTATATAAAATATGATATTAAATGAAGCTGTAGTACAAAGCATTAAGTAAGGAGTCAGTATACTAGATCCTTTTCCTGGATCTGCTTTTGAATTTATGAAGTTTCTTTAATATAGTCACTGTATGTAAAGAAAGATAATGTTGTTTACTTGTTTACCTTGTTAAAGTACCTTGTAGTCTCATCCCAGTTACCACCGTGGGATGTACAGCATTTTTGAGAAAAAGCTTATGAGAAGAGGGGGAAGTTTTTATCAGTGGGGCTTAGCCTAAAGATGAGTGTGTTTTTGTGAGCGATTTTTTTTATATTTGCCTTAAGAAGGTGGCAGATTTTCACCCTCTGCAGGCAGGCTCTGACACAGAACAGTGGGATGCCTCAGTGCACAAGTGGCCCAAGGCTGATGCTTGGTGTGAATGTCTTCCAGCTACTCGTGTCTGCTGCCAGGGAAAGCACAGAACATCCAGGTTTACTTACAGTGCACTGAAACTCATACAGTGAGCTCACAAAAATAACTTAAACTGATTTATGCAAACACCTGAACTGTGTTTGTTAAAACTGAGCCAGATGAGGATCAGGAAGTAGTTGCAAAACTGGTGGGGCCTATATTGAGGGTTGAAATCTTTGGTTCTGATAAATTTGGAAGGGCAACTCAAGAAAAAAAATTGTAATTTGTCACTAGAGGGGTATGCTAACACTATGTGGTATTAGTTCAGTATTTGCTAAAACGATAAACTAAATTGTTCTAAAAGGATTTTTGAAATTCCTTCCTTGTTTATTTGCTGATTTAACTTCTTTGCCTACCACCTTACTGATGATTTTGGATGGTAAGTTTTCAGAAGACATACTATTTATATGGAAGTGTGATGTAAAAATGGGCTGTAGTTAACACACAATATCATAGATGTCCAGGTTTTAAAAGTAATTGTCCTGGTTAGAACGGCTGGGACCAATTCATCCCTGGATGGGTGTAACCCAAAACTGTGTATTCTATAGCCTCCATGCCATTTCCCAAAAACTGCTGTCAGTAGAGGCCTGCAAGGTGGGAAGATGTTCCTGTACCCTTTTATGGAATTCCCCGCTCTGATATCCTTATATGGAATTCCCCGCTCTGATAAGAGGGACTGAGCATCCACATGCCCTTTTATGGAATTCCCTACTCTGAGGGAGGGACTGAGCACTCC